GGAACCATCATGGTCTGTCCTGTGCAGAAAGACAAAATGCAAAATAATTTCTTTACTAAAACCTCTGTAACTTTGCTCCAGTTAATTTTAGCAGCCTGAATCTTTGCACAGGTGATGTCCACAAGTGGATTTATGGTTTCAGGAGTTTTTAGCCTGATTCATTGGTTTTAAATAGGTTATATACTRTCTAATGAAAACATTATTCAGACGGGAAGGAAAAAAAATATGTTCCATCCCTAATATGTCTAAAACCACAGCAGCTGTTTTAATATTTACACTTCTGATGAAATCTCCCAAGTGTTAGCTTTATTTTGATACCAAGATTATTTAAGTAGAGTTTGTAAAAGCTGAGATTCACTCAGTTWCGTTTCAACATGTGAYTTTGAGCAAAACCTTCAAGAAAACCCCTCGGGGCTGAAGAGGTTAATCCACGTCGTACGGTTTGTGTTTGACGTCTCAGAGCTCTGTTTGTTTCCACCTCCTGAAACATTTGTTGTTTTGTTTCTGAGTCACTCGTTGAGTCTTCATGTTGTTACAACAAGAGTGATTGTGTGTTGCAGCCACCCGAACGCAGCTGGACTGGAGTCTGCAAAGAAACTCACAGAGAGTCTGCTGGAAACTGTAAGTCTGACTTCTGAGACGCTCTGTCCGGAGGCGTAAGAGGGTGGAGCTACTGCAGTGCGTAGTTTCCACTGATACCCGCCTCCTACAGTCACTGTGGTAGTGTGAACCACCTGATCTCCAGTGTTAGATCTCAGGTGCTCTGCACCTACCCTCAACCCTCAGCAGTGCAGCCTTTGTTGGGATGTTTTCATCAGTCAGTTGTTGTTCTGCAGGTGAGAGMTGAACACGCCCGGATGCTGTCGATGTACACGGCCACAGGCTCGACACAACGTGAGTCATCTGKTCCTCTAACTACTGACGGCCCATACAAACTTTAATCCAGAATATTTTCTGGTTTGTGATGATAAATACARTTTATTCAGTTTATGATTGTAGTCAGATTCTGTCTGAGGAGCTCAGATTGAAACAAACATTTCCATCAAGCTGAATAAATTTATTGACAGGTTTTCAGGGCTGGRTAAAAAAAAAATCAATTTAATCAATRTTGGATTGACTTAATTTAAATGTGGTAAAATGGATTCATGGATTTTTCCTCATGGTGTCTTGTGTGCGTTCTACGATGTGTTTCTATATTTTGTCACTCCTGGCTTGCCGTATGTTTACACCT